CTAATTTATTATTTTTAGGATGACTTAAACCTCAATCATTCATGTGTCATCTGTATATGGAACTGAATTGGATTCCTGGTGCAGAGAGTGGTTAAACTAGACCAGTGGGTCTGCCCCCTGAGTCCACAGCTTTCATCCAAATAGGCTAATTGCTCTTTAATAAAATGGGACACAAGCAACAGAGACAGCTTTGTGAGTGAAATCTCCACATTGTCAAAAGTGAGTTCAGAGTTTGTGTAACCCCCCTCCCTAGGGTGGCCAGATGTGCGGCTTTAGGCCGGACAATCCGGATTTTCACTGCACTGTCCGCACGCGTATTTGTCCTTTCTGAGGCACGAGATTTATTTCCATTTATGATGGGCTGCAGCGCAATATCCAATCATAGAATGTAAAAAAAAAAAATGCATTGACTATCTGTTCTAACCAATGGCGGTTGGCCAATAGAGGACGCTAGGGCGCCGCCCCACACCCTGATTAAGACATAAAAAAATAATTATTAGTTTTCCTTATAATTTAATTTTAAATTAAAATGTTAATTATTTTGAAATATATCTATATATATATTTTTTATGTGTAAGATAAATATTTACTCTTTAGTGACTAGTAAAGCATCATGCCTAGGGTACAAAAATCTTTACCCATGGACTCTCGTTAAAAATTGTACATGCGCTGTAGCTCCTCTGCAATACAAAAGCATTGGAGAGCGTTCAGGAAGTGTATTTGCTCACCACCTCCCGCCACAGGGCAGGTGTTTTGCGGGTGATTGACATGTTGAGTCGGTTGGAGATGTATCGGAGAGAGAAAGAGAGAAAGGGTGCGAGAAATATCCTTTTGCAGGACCTATTCTGCTTTCCGTCTTCTTTTTCAGTCGTCAGGATCTGACCCAGCATGGATAAAGACAGCTAGGACTGATTTTAAAGCACTTTTTATAAAAGGCAAAGAAGAATGAACAATCTGGGATAATAATATTTTGCACTTTTTCTAGATGTTAATTTGCATAGTTGCTCATAAATAAACACATTCTCGAGACTCATTCCATGGCACACTTTGTCGATGCAATTTGGACGTAAGCCGTCAAGAAAGCTGCAATTGAACGAATGCGAGTACAGATTAACATAAAAGTACACTCACCGGCCACATTATTAGGTACAACTGTCCAACTGCTCGTTAACACTTAATTTCTAAGCAGCCAATCACATGGCATCAACTCAGTGCATTTAGGCATGTAGACATGGTCAAGACAATCTCCTGCAGTTCAAACCGAGCATCAGTATGGGGAAGAAAGGTGATTTGAGTGACTTTGAACGTGGCATGATTGTTGGTGCCAGAAGGGCTGGTCTGAGTATTTCAGAAACTGCTGATCTACTGGGATTTTCACGCACAACCATCTCTAGGGTTTACAGAGAATGGTCCGAAAAAGAAAAAACATCCAGTGAGCGGCAGTTCTGTGGGCGGAAATGCCTTGTTGATGCCGGGGTCAGAGGAGAATGGCCAGACTGGTTCGAGCTGATAGAAGGGCAATAGTGACTCAAATAACCACCCGTTACAACCAAGGTGGGCAGAAGAGCATCTCTGAACGCACAGTACGTGAAACTTTGAGGCAGATGGGCTACAGCAGCAGAAGACCACACCGGGTGCCACTCCTTTCAGCTAAGAACAGGAAACTGAGGCTACAATTTGCACAAGCTCATCGAAATTGGACAATAGAAGATTGGAAAAACGTTGCCTGGTCTGATGAGTCTCAATTTCTGCTGCGACATTCGGATGGTAGGGTCAGAATTTGGCGTCTACAACATGAAAGCATGGATCCATCCTGCCTTGTATCAACGGTTCAGGCTGGTGGTGGTGGTGTCATGGTGTGGGGAATATTTTCTTGGCACTCTTTGGGCCCCTTGGTACCAATTGAGCATCGTTGCAACACCACAGCCTACCTGAGTATTGTTGCTGACCATGTCCATCCCTTTATGACCACAATGTACCCAACTTCTGATGGCTACTTTCAGCAGGATAATGCGCCATGTCATAAAGCTGGAATCATCTCAGACTGGTTTCTTGAACATGACAATGAGTTCACAGTACTCAAATGGCCTCCACAGTCACCAGATCTCAATCCAATAGAGCATCTTTGGGATGTGGTGGAACGGGAGATTCGCATCATGGATGTGCAGCCGACAAATCTGCGGCAACTGTGTGATGCCATCATGTCAATATGGACCAAACTCCCTGAGGAATGCTTCCAGCACCTTGTTGAATCTATGCTATGAAGAATTGAGGCAGTTCTGAAGTTAAAAGGGGGTCCAACCCGTTACTAGCATGGGGTACCTAATAAAGTGGCCGGTGAGTGTAATAAACATGCGGCAGGTAACTCTTCAAAGAGGGCCTATTGTCATTAAATATTTCCTTTTTAGCTACACAAGTATCCTCTTCAAAACCCTCAAATTTGTATTATAAATGAGAGTAAACAAGATTCTTATGTACACCGTAGAAATTTATTGATATACCGCATAATGTCCTCCTTTTTGGTGCCACAGAAATGGCCACCCTACCCCTCCCCCTAAAAATAAAAGATATTGACAAGGATGTAAACATAACTGATCTAAAATAAAAGGGGAATGAAATAGAGAAATTATAAATTGCAGCCACATTGTTTTACAGAGAAGAAGCTACTTGAGCATAATGTATGGAGTAAGAATACTCTCAATAATAACACTTGTAGGTGTCTGGATTTGTTAATGTAAGACAATAAACATAAATAGATTTAGGATGTGTAAAAGTATGCAAATTATTAGTATGAATCACAAATGTACTAGTGCAAATCAAAAATATATATATATGAATCACAGAGCTACGAGCAGGAATCAAATCTATGAGTACGAATCTCAAAATTACTTGTACGAATTACAGATTTTCTCGTACAAACTTCTTGTATAGAGTCATAATATTACAAGTCTGGGTCATACATTCATAAGCACAAAGCACACATTTGGGAATCACTGTATTAGAAATGTACTACGAGGAGTCTTAAACCCCTGATGAAGCTGTTGCAGTTATTACCAATTATCTGCAATAAAGCACCAAAAAGTTGTTTGTAATCAACATTAAACAATAGGAAGTGGAAGAAGATGAAAACAAAATGATATTATATCTTTGCTGAAATAGCTCTGTCGTTGTCCTTTTCCTCTTCTTCTTATTTAAAGGTGGCTGGCTTAGAACTTTCAGGTGCATTGCTGCCGCCAACTGGTAAGGAGTGTAATTGCTTCATCAGGGGTTGTAGTTCCATATCCATACATTTGTGATTTTTGAATGTATTTTTACAAAGTTGTTAACTTTAAAGTTGTATTCCTAACTTCAAAACTTGTAATCTCACAAATAAAAGCTCTGATGTCACATGAATGTTATTAGTCAACAACAGGAAACAAATGTGCATCTTAAATGTAGATATTATTCACTTACAATCACAGTTTCAGACAACAATGCTGAAGGAAAACATGTTTTATTGAAACTTAATCTTACTACACAATCAATAGGTCATCATCAGCAATTGCTTAAGTCTGGTTAGAATCAGACTCTGGTTTTGGAGTTTTATTGTTCTGATGTATATTTTCACAGCAACGATTTTAGGAATATCTGGGATGTGAGGAATTTTTTGTGAATCTTCGACCCAAGAAAGGCTGGATGATTTAGAGATCAAAGCTCTCTACACAGGGTGTACTTTCTATTTTACCATGACTGTAGCTTCCTGTGAATGTTTTGCTCTCTGCTCCTTGTTCCCTGTTTCTGTTCTCCAAATCCTTTCCCCTTCGCCGCTGTAGCTCCACCACATTAATGTCCTTAACTCCTCACACTATTGTTGCTGATGGCACCATATCTGTCCTCAATAGATTTTCACCATCCTAAAGCCACATATAGTCTTTCTGTTGCCTCCTATCCCTTCATCTCTTTGTTCATCCTCATTTTTAAGTACATTAGTGTCATCTGAGAACATGTCGAGTAATAAGTCTAAGAGAAGTTTTATTTACTGTACTTTATAATTCAACATAAGTAATTTTCTTATGAAAATAGAAGCAAAAGCTATTCTGTGGAGAGCCGTTAAAATCCTAATTAAATAAATAACTAAAAAGGTTTTGTTTTACGTAGATTATTAATAAATATTCCATTAACTATATAAATTTCACCATTAAATAAAACAAAAGGGATTTATTAAAATAAATGCTAAGCTATTTTTATTAACTTTCCTTCATTCATTTAATTATTTAAGCTTGAATTATTTCAATGTATATTTCAAGACTATTATTTATTTGAATATATATTTATTCATGAAGATTTATCTATTTACCTTAAGATGTAACATTTTATTTATTTGATTGGTGATTTATTTTGATATTTATTGATTTTAGATATATTCTTTTGTAATTAAATGCATATAATTATTTCTATATTTTTTATTTCAAAATATTTTTCTTTATGATTTTACTACTTTTCAGATTATGGGAAGGTTGTTGCTTCTCATTAAAAAACTCCCAAAACACAAACAGTTCAAACTTAAATCAACCCATAAATCAGTAGGTTAGAGAGCTATATGTAGCATCTGTAACTCTGTATTGCTTTTGTTTATTATTCATTGTGGGATTTTAGTTTTCTCTCTGCTCTAGAGCTGCTGAGTCAATCTGGTTCTATTATATTATAGTAATATATTATATTACTAGGCCGCTGTGTTGGACCTGGTTTGCGTCCCATCTCTACAGATTTAAACCTGTCTATCACGCATATCTGAAAAAAAACTAATAATAAACTACATTACTGTGATTAAAATGGTGTTGAAATGCAGCAAACGATGAGAGAAATTGTTCTTTGTTCTTTTTTCTCTTACAGAAGGAGTAAAGAATTTGGTTTTTCATCAAATTAAAATAGTTTTGAAGAGATTGTTTGGCTATTGTGGAACTTCTAACTCTTAGACTATTAAAAAAAAAAAAAATCTTTATTTTTATTTCACTTCCCAGGGAGCAAAGCGTCCAGAGGATCAACTGTGGATCTTTCCAGGACCTCGTCACATGGGAGTGCGCGTCCGCACGCGTGAGGGTGTGTTCAGGGCTCCCTACGTCCCTGAGCCAACATGGCGGCCGGACGAGAGCGTGTTTCACGAACACAGAGGCCATGGTCGGTGTACCGGGCCAACACCTTCGAGCTTTCCAGCGAGATGATTGGCCTGGCACTCGCAGGTGAGGACTCAGGTTTTATGTATGACCTCTGTGGATCAGTGGCAGAAGTGGTCATCCATCCATTTTCTACCATGTTTATCCCTGCTGGGGTCGTGAGGAATGCTGGTACTTATTATATAGGCGGGATACACCCTGGACTGGTCACCAATCCATCTCAGGACCACGCATAAGTGGTCAGAAGTAATTTAATCATTGTGAGAATAAAGTTAGGCTGAAAAGAATCAAGTGCATTTAAAAAGCTGCAGTGTTAAAAAGAATACCTTGATTCAATTAAGAAAAGGGAACTAAAATGATTCAATGCAAAATAATAAAATCGTTGATTAAACTACTTTAGATTTACCAATATCATAAATTTTGAGTTAATCCAAATTTTTTGAAAACTGGTTCATGTTTATTATGAATTTAAAGAAAAGAAAATCAAATACTCCAAACAACTACAAAATACTTACATTATACTCAGTATTCCTCTATATGAAATTCATTTAGAATAACTGTCTCGAGCAAATACAATTTTCTAAAGTATCTGAGTTACATTGACTCATTCTTGAGGTAAAATTTTATGTATTTTCTTATATTTATTGTACTTTTACTTTAACTTCAGTAATATTCTTAGCGTTTTTGTACAGAGAGCCATTTGATTCAAATTAAAGTAGTGATGTAAATAGAATATTAAATGATATTTCATTAAATAAATACATTTCCACATTAAATAAAACAAGTTACATCTTTAAAAGTAAAAAAAAACATTTAAATAAGAATGATTGGGATTCTTTAATAATAATAAGTTATATAAATTAATTAGTGTGATCAATCAATCAAGTGGTCAACCAGTTTGGTTTCATTATCTGTACTTTTTATTAGAGTTAAGTTGTTCATATAAAGTTATTTAAGTTATGTTTATCTCATTTGCAAATAGTAGGAGTAAATTCTATGTTAGACCAACTCAAGACAGTTAAGAGACGATTTCACCGAATAATGAGCTTAATTACTGTCAAATAAACATTTATTTGGCTAAATGAATAGAAACCAACTCCCACTGTGACAGATTTCAATGTATGTAAAGGAAGTGCATGTCAATTAAATTGAACATTGTTTACCTTACATTTAACAGCATCTATTTAATGTGACCTTGCATCGTTGAAAAAAACCCATAAAAATCTAAATTAAATGATTAAATGGTGATTCGAAATGAGAATAAATAGAGAGTATTTTTTAGGGTGTCCTCAGTCTGGCACTTTTATTTTTGGGGTTACAGGCTGAAAAGTTTTGGAACAAATAAACAGCTGGAAACAACAGATAAGGAAACGTGTGCATGCTTTAATGAAATTCAGTTAACGTAGCTTTGGTGTTTAATAGGGGTGCACAGATTTATCGGCCTAGATTTTCTTAATGATCAGAGATCGGTGAACGGTCAATACTTAGCTGTGAAACTAATCTTTTCCACAAATCTAATCTACCTCTGTAAAGGTTTTAGTACCACCCACTATTAATGCCTCAAACTGTATTTATATTTGGGAGCAGTTATTTTAGATCTTTTTATTGTTTCATGGTCAATGATGAATGATTTTTCAGTAACATAAGATTGAAATATTTTTTGTCTTGGGATCTTATAACAACTGAAGGGGTCAGTTATAAAAATAAATCTGTATCGGTCAAAATCTGAATCTGCATGTAAGGCTTTCTAAAGATCACCATAGTGTTTTGGGATTTTTATCCTTAGCATGAGTAAAAAAAGTTCAGTCTAGTTTAACAAGAATCCGATCTTTGGCTCTCCAGGAAATAGTCAGGACCCAGACGAGCCGGTTTTGGAGTTCAGTATCTGTGAGTATTACAATATATCTTTCATTAACTACCTGAATACCTGTAAGTTTGTGCCGCAGTGATTTCAGACAGGTTGATGGTTTATTCTCAGCCTGCACAGAGCTGGCCACTCCCTCCATGGAGCGCAAACCCAACAGTTTTGTAGCAGTGAGCTGCACAACCCCACCACAGGCATTCTGGACCAAACACGCCCAGACTGAAGTCATAGAGGTCAGTGCCTTTCAACGAAACCGATTATCAGTCAAAATGGGCGAAAAAAAAGTATGAAGGAAGAGTTCTTTGTCATTTCCATTCAATCGGACATACAATAAGAGATGTGGCATGCAAAAATACTCCCCATAATCAGAGCTTTTTATTATTCATCACTCAAATGTAAAGAAACATCTATCCATTTATTCTTTAAGTTATTAACATTTCTACGACAGAAAAGTTTTCTAAAATAAAAATGAACATTCATCGTGTCTATTCTAAGTAAAGCTCTGATTCTCTTTAAATAAACTGATTTGTGGCCTAGTTTAAAATATGTGATCTAAACTTTAAAAAGTGTGAGAGAGAAAAAGTAGGGAGGATCAAAGGACGGATGGACACCTTGTTACTGTAGTTACCAGAACACCTCCCAATTAAGAACACCATTCAGTGGTGTGAATCACTGCATCTACGCTTTTCAAAATCCTGTTTCAGCATGACAGCTGGTTCTTTCTTTTAAGTTTCTTTAGATGGTAGGTGGTGAATGGGTTGTTGGACTTCTGAAGGGTTTTCCGGTTTGGATTAATTGTCAGAAATTTCCTTGTCTAACGGGAAGAAACCAAGAAATTTGCGAAAATTGACATTGTAATTCTGAGTTAGCATTAAGCTAAGCTAAGAACAAGTAAAAAGCACATTTTTAAGTTGTTTTAAGATAGATTGATTGATTGCGTTTCTATTATTTATGATAATTGTAGTTTTTTTAGAGTGCTAAACCGATCAAAAACTGCTTTGTCTTCCCTCAGGGCACCAGTAACCCCACGTTCCTCAGCAGCATCGCCTTCTTCCAGGACTGCAACATAAACCAGCAGACGCAGGTCAAGCTAGCCGTGTACGATGTTAAGGACCGCTCGCAGGGAACGGTATGAATCTACCATCATCTACCTTATTAGAGAAAAGTGTGATTCTGAGCTGTTGTCACTCTCCATATATTCAGATGTACATGTTGGGTTCTGCACTGTTTGCGGTGAAGGAAATACTGCAGGAGAAAGGCCACAGATTGGAGCTAGAGCTGAGGTAACACATCCACACAATCAGGTTTAAATCTTTTAAAGGAAACATAACTTTGTTATTTATTGTAAAATAAGTGAAACTAAGATGCTCAAAAAATGTAGGCAACACTAATATAACTCGTCCTATATCTGAATGAATTAAATATTCTCATTGAGACTCTGTTCTGTTCAAAGTTGAATGTGCTGACAACAAAATCACACAAAAATAATCAATGGAAATCAAATTTATTAACCGATGGAGGCCTGGATTTAAGTGGAAAAATACACAACAGGCGGATCCTACTTTAATGCTATGTCCTTAAAACGGGTCAAAATGAGGCTCAGTATTGTGTGTGTGACCTCCGCGTTCCTGTATGACCTCTCTACAATGCCAGGGCATGCTCCTGATGAGGTTGCAGATGGTCTCCTGAGGGATCTCTTCCCAGACCTGGACCAAAGCAACCGCACCGGGGTCTCACAAGGATCTCACCTTGGTAATAAATGGCAGTAATGAAACCTCTGGTGAGCAAATGGAGAGCTGTGCGGCCCTCCAAAGAAATGCCACCCCACACGATTACTGACCCTGAGTAAAACCAGTCATGATGCAGGATGTTGCAGGGAGCAGATCGCCCTCCACGATGTCTCCAGACTCTTGTAACACCTGTCAAATGTTCTTAGTGTGAACCTGCTTTCATCTGTGAAGAGAACAGGGTACCAGTCTCTGGCAAATGCCAAGCGTCCTGCACTATGTTAGGCTGTGAGCAAAACCCTCATCTGTGAACGTCAGGCCCTCGTGCCATCCTCATGGAGCCTGTCATTAACAGTTTGTGCATGCACATTTGTGGCCTGCTGGAGGTCATTTTGCAGGACTCTGGCAGTACTCCTCCTGTTCCTTCCTGCGCAAAGACGGAGGTAGCAGTCCTGCTTCTGGGTGGTTGCCCTCCTACGGCCTCTTTAATGTCTCCTGGTGTACAGGCCTGTCAGACACAGCAAACCTTCTTGCCACAGCTAGAGGTGCCATCCTGGATAAGATGCACTACCTACGCCACTTTTGTGGGTTCTTTACGAGTTTGAAAGCACCACCAACATTTAAAAGTGACCAAAACATCTGCCAGAAAGCATGGATACTGAAAAGTGGTCTGTGGTCCCCTCCTCTTGCTAATTGCCAATCATTTCCACCTGTTGTCTTTTCTATTTGCCCAACAGCATGTGAAATTGATTGTTAATCAGTATCATTACCTAAGTGGACAGTTTGATTTCACAAAATTTGACTTAATTGAAGTTATATTGTCTCATTTATGTTTTCCCTTCACTTTTGAGCAGTGTAAAATAAAATTATATCCAGCTTTAATCCTGTCTTATGTTTCTATTGGACAGATCGGCGGAGAAAGAACGGGTTGGGAAGCTTACGGTGACTGCTTGGCAGATGGATGAGAAAGCAGATCATAGGATGCCTGTTAGAAGTCTGCCAGAAAGCATCAATGGCCGAGTATGAATTATTAAATGTTTTCTTTTGTTGTTGCTTCTGATCCTTTCGCACCGTATTAAGACCGCTCTTTGATCCCATTAGAAATATGACTGGATTGGAAAACTTTGTTCAGTAGGACTGCAGTCATGAAACCACTCACTGCATAGATTCTTCTGTTGGTTTCATGTTTGCATTGGTGCGTTTCAATGGCCCTTATTATAGTCAGAATTTTCTCCTTCTGCACATTATACATACAAAGGTTTCTGCATCTCCACCATCAGTTTTAGCAATCCAGTAATGGAAGAACATTATTGATAACATAATACATTTTTTATCATTTTTAATCAGCCTTATGGAGTGAATTCCATTCTGCTAAAATCATATTTTGGAAATTAAGGTTTAAAAATATGCAATACATTGCAGTTAGTTTTATATTTTCTTACTTTAGTTTTTGCGTTTCATAGATCACATCTTTTATTTCCTAATTTAACTTCCTGCTGTATTTACATTCCATATAACAGGGCAGTTATCCAATTTCTTGGACGTTTTAGATCATAAAAAGTAATCACTGTTGTCATTCACAGCCATCTTAGGTTTAATCTTGGTCTTCAGGACAGAAACTATTATTAGTCATTACGATATGTGATAGTTTTAGTTGGTTTTGTGTTGCAAAAAAAATGTATTAATTACAGTTTCGAATAACAACCAGATTTTTTACCAGACTGACAGCTCTAGTGTAGATACTGCAATTGCTGGGTCTAGAATGTTGCCGTGCAGTTCATCATTGCTGTTGGGCAGAAAACTTTGATTTATAGAATTCCAAAAAACTTTCTTTTTATGAATTAATGCTCTACTTTATAAAAAAAAAAGTGTCTCACAAAAGTAGTGAAAATAGCAGATCTAGTTCAACACATCATATTTTTTAATATAGCAGACAGACAAGCTGACAAAATGTACAATAAAGGAATGGTTTTTGACATATAAGGTTTCCATCCCAAATTATGCAATACACACAGATCAATATTCATTGCTCCAAAAAGCAAAGAACAAAAACATTCTTCTTTCTACTTTCTACTTTCTGAGAATTTATCCTTTAGTTACCGCTGCTCAGGGGTCAAAGAAGATTTAAATTCACAGGGTTTTGATTTAAAAAAAAAATACAGAGAGAACCTACATTATTGCCTTGAAATGCCATGACAATCCAGACCTAAATTGAATGAATATGCTAACTAAAATGTTGACATATTTAAAGCAAACAGAAAATGTTTTAATGACAATACAAGGAAACATTTGCATCATATTTAAATAGAAACGAGAACAATAAGAGAAAAAAATTCAAAGACCTAAGTACCTTCTCATCTGGCTCTTTATCCAAAAATACACAGAATTCAATAAAATATTTTATTTGGATATAATTTAGGGAATCCTTTAGGTAGAAATTAAAGAATGTTTAGCATCACCTCTTCATATTTTCCAGATAAAGTCTATTCTTACAATAATCACCAATGCTGCTCTTGACCACTTGATCAGAAGTTGCATATCTTCGTTTGTTAGCTTCTACACAAAGTGAACAGAAATAAACAACTTTTTACATCCCTTCATACCATAAACTAGAGGCAGTTAACAACCATTCCCCCGCTCTTCTCAAATCTTTTTTTATTTTTACCATCATAACAGACTGGATTTTTCTTCACCTCAACGATCAACTTTTCTTCATCCATTCTGCATTTTCTGTCAAATTAGAACTTAGAACCTTGACTACATGCTCTAATTGTGCAGTACCCATAAGACTAGCGAAAACTTTTAGGATTTCACTGTGGATTTGTTTTCCCTGCAGACGGTGCTGCCGGTCGATGAGAGCCTGACCGAGTCGATGGGAGTCCGGATCAAATACGCCTCGTTGGGCAAAGATAGCCTGCTGCGCTCAGGTGAGACTCCGCCTGCTTCACAAAGTAAAAGAGTAGGGGGGGAGAAAAGAAGTAGGTCAGAAGGACAGAGTAGCAGCAGGAAACAAGGTAAATGAGTCAAAGAAAGCTTCTAGGTGAGCAGTTAAAAGCTTCTCAGTGCTTTAATCAAAAGCTCCTGTGATGCGAATGTCAAACAGTGTTTGGAGGCACCATGTCCAGGATGTACCGCTTCCCAACCACCGACGGGAAGCATCTCCGGGTCCTGGAGCAGATGGCCGAGAGCGTCCTGTCCCTCAACATTCCCCGGCAGTTTGTTAAGTTGCTTCTGGAGGAGGACACTGCCAGGTACAAAACATACATCTGTGAAGTCAGCACTTAGTAAAACATGATGTAATCAGTTGTTTGTTGTTGGGGTTTTTTTTGTTTGATGATGATGCAGCATCTTCTGGTTTTGCTTATTGTAAAATGTTTCTTTTTACTGTTTTGAATTTTTGTTCAGGGTGTGTGAGCTGGAGGAGCTGGGGGAGTTGTCCCCCTGCTGGGAGAGTTTGCGGCGACAGATCGTGTCCCAGTACCAGTCCATAATACTGGCATATCAGGAGACATTGTCTGACCTCAATGCATACAGAGGTTGGTGTCTGCACAGCTCCCTAAACCTTGGTAAAAAAAAAATGAAAACATGGAGCTGTGAGTGAGCCCTGTCTTTTAACCGTTTACCTCATCAGGCCCGTCATTCAAAGCTAGCAACCTGAAGGCAGACAGGAAGCTGGAATTCATGCCGACCAACCTCCATGTGCAGCGGATGAGGGTGCAGGATGAGCTGGGCTTCGGTAAAACATCACATTCAAACAGTAGTGCGCGCGCTCGCTGTTCGCCCCTCTGCTAACGTCTGTTTCTCTCCACAGATCACACCTATGATGTGATAACGATCGGCGCCCCGGCCGCTCACTGCCAGGGGTTTAAAAGCGGCGGCCTCAGGAAGCTCATCCAAAAGTTCGAGGAGGCGAAGAAACAGTGAGTCTCAAAATGGAAAAAAGTTCAGAAAATGTCACTTTCTTCCTTTTTTCCTTTTTGCTTTTGATTTTGCTTCATTCATATTTAAGTTCTTATTTCAAACACTTGGAAGAATCAAACCATTACCTGCTTTGATTTGACTTTAATTAATTTACTGTTTCTTTGTAAAATACAATGGCTTTTCTTCCTTATTTGTTTCTGTTACTTTTTTTTTATCAGCGTTTATGAGGATGGATGGTGAGTTGTTGCATTGATTTAGCTTGTTTTCATTTCACAGTTTGTATCTCACCGCTAAGATGGAAAATTCCAGGTTATAGCTTGTTAAATCATTTAAAAGCAATAAACCAAACCATTTGTCTTAAAAATAATTTAATGTTCAAACAATAAATTGATATTCTCTTTTAGCCATAGAGACCCTTTCCCTAAAATCTATGCTTTAGTCCGCTACCCATATATTTTATTTTGTTGTTTTTTGGGGTTTTTTTTTTTTGCTATGGAGCAGTAATAGGCAAAAAAATTGTAGTTTATTATTAGAAAGTGATTTAAATAACATATCTAAGCAAATAAAAATATCAAACATGGTTTAAAAATGTATCTGAAGTATGATGGATCCTCTTTTTCACATGAAATAATCTGTTTTACAAATATAAAGGTCCATATTCAAGTTATAAGCCCACACAACAACAAAAAAAGATCAAGATTAAAAAGGTGGTTATACATAGCGAACATCCGTCCTGGTCTTAACATCCACTTTATTTTGAAGTAATGATTTCCAGCACTGGGTGTGATGAGCTGACATACAGTAAAAAAATATTGAGCCTATGAGTGTCATTTCAAATCAAAAGTATTTTTGCATTGATTCATTACAATCACAATTATTGTTAATTATTTTGGGTCCAGTCTGGGTGGGGGGAGGGTGTGGTTTTTGAATGTGTACAAAGTTTGAAAAACGGAAAGTCTTTTGTAACCATGAAGATGATCTATTGTTTTACCCCTGACTTTTCAATAAAAAGATTTTGAAAAAAAAAAAAAAAGTATTTTTACATTGCAACTGTGAATTTGAAGTTTTAGTGACAAATACAATAGATGTTTTCTTAGTAGTATATCTTTTTCTAACTTTTACAATAACATAAAGAAGTTATACCTCTTTGCTGTGTGCTTCCCCCATAAAAAAAATCTCTTGCACTCTCAGTTTTGCTCCAGTTGATTAAAAACTAATTTGTTCTTTGTTTCCTACGATGATAGAACACAATTTCCTTTTACACCATGTGAGCCAGATATGTGTATGCTAATGGTTAGTGCAGGGGAAAATCGAAAATAAAATAGTAATCTCAATTGAAGTAAAAAAAAAAAATTCCCACTTTTAATTTTTGGCTAAATCCTGCAGCCCTGAATCAGAATGCTGAGGACTGATGGAAGTCAGTTAATTTATCAGGCTATAACCTACAATTTCAAAATAACACTGCCTTAATCACTGCATAAACTACCACTGCTTCATTGAGTTTTCACCAAAGCCAAATATCACGTAAAATATTATCTCTTAATATGTATTTGTAAAGTTAAAGTCAGAGGTTGGCTGTTTTCTTTTCAAAAGACTGAGAAAGCCCGTTTCTAAAGTTCAAAAGCTATCGCCTGATGTTACACATGTCGTCAAAAACACCATCTACAGCAGGCATGTGCATGCAAAATCTGTATCACTCTTTAGCCGTCTTATGCAAAGTAATATTCGAGAAGCAAGTGAAATCTCGACTTCTTTTGGAAACGGATCTTCTCTAAACCAGCTACTCTTCCTCTATATGTGTAGAACAGAATGTCATCAGCATATGGGTTGATCATTATCCTTTATCCCAACAGCAGTGCTCTCTCCAGCTCACAGTCCATCGTCTATATACCCCAGGACATAGTCCGAGCCAAAGAGATCATTGCTCACATCAACACGCTCAAGACTCAGGTCAACTACTATGCTGAGAGGCTTTCCCGAGCCGCCAAAGACCGATCAGCCAGCGGGCTGGAGAGGACGCTGGCTATTTTGTCCGATAAGGTAACTTAGCAGTAAGGTAGATAATTTTCTTATTTTGGATTCATTTTTTCTGATATTTCATCATCACTGCGGTCAGACTCGTCAGCTGGTGACGGTGTGCGACTGCAAACTGCTAGCTTCGGCCATCCAGGCTTTGAATTCGGCTCGGCCCGAGTACATTGCCTCCAAAGCGTCCCCTACGGCCGAACCAGAACAAGTGGTCCTCCGCAACGACCAGGACACCCTGCTCGCCAAGTGGAGCGGTCGCAACAGTCGATCTTCACTGCATGTGAACTGGCATGAAGAGGAATGGGTGGGTTTTTTAACAAAATCGTCATTAAATTCCTCCTCTCACTATCAGTTATTTTATTTTTTCCCCGAATTACAAATTGCTTTTACCACATCCAGGTGGTTCAATTGATAATCTTTTGTTGTCTACTCAGGAGAAGGTTTGGGTAAATGTTGACAAATCTCTGGAGTGCATCATCCAGCGTGTGGATAAGTTGTTACAGAAAGAGAGGAGACCCAGCAGCAGCAGCCTGGACAGTACCCAGAATGACCTGCAGGGCGGCAGCGGCAAGAAAGGTGACACACTTTTTTTGTGCTTCTTCACCATTTATTCTTTAAGGAAATTGAAGCTGAACTTATCCAATTTCACCATCATGTTTTATTAAAAAAAACTTCCTTACTTTTTACATTTAGTGGATTTGTTGGTGTAAATGAACTTTGTTTGTGAAAAGGGGAGGAAAAAAGACGAGCTTTCTGGATCAACCCGGGAAGTTTGTCACAGGAATCATTGCCATCCGAATCAACTCCATCGTCCTCATCACCTCCACCATACTCTTCCTCTTCGCCCGCCCTGTCCTCATCTGTACGGCCCCCCAGCCCCGAACAGGAATACTGTATGTTTTGGTTTCTTACTGTTTGTTCTTCTATCACCGCGTTCAGGTTCCAGTCTGAAGTTTATATCCACTCATCATCAGAATGCGTTTCTGGGCTTCAGATTGGATTTTTTCAAGAGTTTTCCAAGTGATGTGGATCGTTTCTAATCCATCAAAGCTAAAAATTACACACACTGGCTCAACTACATCCACAAACTCCACAAGGGAGACTTAGAGATCAAACTTTTATCTTTAGTCCCGGATGGCTGTTTGGCAGAATTGCTAGATCTTCTAAAAATGTGGGTTGTATCCCAACACAGACCTTGCTTTTAAGCAGGGTTGAAATCAGAGCTTTAAAGGAGGCGGATTTAGAAGCTAACTGAAACGTTAGCCTGATTTATCTGCTTTGCGTTGGTTATCATTGTCTTGTTTTATACTTTAATGTACTTTGTGAAACAGTAGAGTTTCAGGTTACAAAAGGAATGAAGAGGAAGATGATGGTGATGGCAGAAAGGGTGAGACTCTTCTATCCACCTGAAAGCTGCACAAACCAATGAGGTCAAATTGATTCAAAGTTTTTATCTAAGGAAAACCAGTTGATTGCATCCACTCACTGACTCGAAGGAAATCCCTGACACAAAGCATACTTGTAGTAAGGGTGTGCAAAATAATCGTCATGACGATGCATCGCCATTCTAATTTTTGCGATCTACTGCATCGATTCTTGAAGGCAAGAATCGATTATAAAAAAAAAAAAAAATGAACAAATAAAATACATTAATGGTTGGCGCACATCAGCCAAACCAAGTGGAATACATCTTCCAGTCCAGCAGATGTCGCTGTGGATGTGTTGACGCCCGCTGCTTTGTGTCACAAGCATTTCCGTCCGAGGGATACTAGGACAACTCATATGAAATAAAACATGGAGAACACTATGAAAATTCGCCCCGCTCCATCACATTTCAAGTCAGATGCTTGGATGCATTTTGGCTTTAAAAACAAAGAAGGTAAAAATGAAATTGATATAACGCACATCATTTCCAAAAGGGGAAATATACGGTACATTTGAATGTTTTCGTTTCATTGGTTTAAAGGACCACTGAGGCCATGTAAATGGCACTGATTATCCTTATTTTGTTATTTTAAGTTTGATGAATCCTAAGATCTTTTTGTCAGTGTGTCCACACCAGTAATAGTAATATTTGTGTCCAGTATTTGTTTTCATGGCAACACCTCCAAAAGTCGTTTCAATAAATACAGCTATGTATGAATTCAGTTGCTTTCAGTTATGTATCAATTGAAGACACGATCCAGCTCATACCCACCCAGTCAGCCACTGGTAAGGGCTGTATCTTTTTCTTATAGTGTTCAGTGAAAATATCGCAATGCATGGTGATGCATCGCAATATTTCAAGTATCGTGATGCATCGTGATAGAATCGCATTGTGGCATGTGAATCGAGGTTCGAATTGAATCATGACTTCTTTGCCGATACCCACCCCTAACTTGTAGTGAAAGTGGAGAGGAAAAATCTCCCTTTTAACGGGAAAAACCTCCAGCAGAACCAGACTCCATGTGGTTTTCAAACGTGGAGAATCACATACTCATGCGCACACATCTACTCCCCACAAGGATTTTAAATGGTTTATGTGTGTAGATGCAATACATCCAATACATCACAGCCATGAGTTCATGATCTTTCCCTTCTGTGCTCCTTCATCACAACCAGATCCAATCCAGTCCTGTGATGCATATGGATGGAAAGGTTCAGATTAGTGAAGTTTAGCGACTACTTGCTTCAGTCTTTATGTTCGTTCACTATGATAATCGCAGTGTCACTTTTCGCATGATTGGCATCGACTGATTGCGCTTTAACCAAGGAAATACATCTCAGCCACTCGCTCTATTCACATTGTTCGGGTTTAGTTTGACGGCTCCATACGGACATATGAATATTCACTAATTTTTTTACTTATGCTATAGTTCTCTTAAATGTTTTCATTTTTTATCAATATCTGAAACCTTCTTGGCTGTTTGTTTATTTTTACGTTATTGGAACCCCATACTTTGTCCAAGTTTCCATCGTCTCGTTGCTTATTTTACATAAACCGTTTGGATTCAGTCCTTTTCTATCCATCCGCCTTGTACTGAAACAACCCACAACATAATACTGCTAACACCAAGCTTTATGCTTGACAATGTGGGACAGCTGCAGATTTTAGCCAATCTTGAAAGAGGTGAATTTTTGGTTGGTTCATGTCTGGAATTGGCTTCAATGACAGAGATTTTGGTGTTCCAGAGCACAGCAGGTTGGAGCTTAGATGTGAAAATAGACCCTTTGTGGAAGACAGACGATTTTGAGCTGAATTAGAAATATAAAATAAAAGAAGTTTATTTAAAAACATTCAAAATGTAAATGACATGATTGTGTATAAACATCAGACTGAAACTAAACTTCTATGGTCTCTCCGTCTGCATTATGTTCTTTTGATATGATGGAGCTAATGTGATTCCTAATTTTCAGCCTCTTGTCTGTTATCTTTGTCCACAGTGATTCAGTCGGTACTTTAAATGTTGCTCTGGACCACGGTCAAACATCTGCTCCATCTATTCCTTTAAACAATACTAAAGCAGACATATCTGTTTTGAAGTCTTTGTCTGAAAGATCTAACCATCTTAAAATAAAAGCGTTATGCTGGTTTTTCTTTGTTAGATCTTTGACCCTGGTCTGCAGTGTTCTCTGTGGCTTACAATGTCTGCTAATCATGCATGTTGCACCTTCACCCCTTCTTCCAGATGGAAGCCCGAGTGCAGAGGAGGCATACCCAGGTAAGAGCTGCTGCTTTCGGCATCATGTTTATCAGAGAAATGACATCTCTCTGTGTTCAGCTGCAAGAATGAGGCTGCAGAACCTCTGAAAGCTTCTACCAGCTCATTTTATCTTCACTGTGAAGTTCTATTAAGTCTGGCTGAAAATCTGGAACCCATTTTAGGTTTCTTACAGAGATCCCAAGGTTTTTGATTAGAAGGAAATGATTCTCACACGTTTTAGTATAGTTTAGCCTAAATCCCCCCATCTTACTTAATGTCCATAATTTATTTTTCTCCATATATTATCACCTGTTTCAAACTAAAACCTGTGTGGGGTGTTTGAACGTTTCAGAAAAGGTTCATATGAACTTTATCCGACTTAATCAGAATAAATTAGATAAAATTATTTGGTAAAAACCTTTAAATTCTATTCCCTGTAATTGAAATCATTAATGTCTACTGATTACAAGACTGAGCTTTTTTAACGGCAAAGTTTCTTTTAAAATCTTTTTTTCGATTAAAGATTTTTTCAAATGTATTATTTTTGGGTTGAATTTATTTATTTTTTTCAAATTTTGATTTACAAAAAGTTCTCTGCTTGCAACAATTGAATGGAACAAAATGAACTACATAGCGTTGCAGGATCAGAACAAGCTTTATAAATGGACATTTGAAAAAAAAAAAAAGCTAAACATTGTTTGTAAATGTTTTTTTCCATAAGGGAAACATCTTTTCTTTCCTATAATCTATCTTCCTTTTGCTCTGCATTGTGCTAACACTTCTAGCAGAGTCTCAAATGTTAGCTCTCGTTTAATACAGAGGCTATTGGAGATATAGTTTTTTACAGATCTTGGCGTGTTATTGTTGCACAAACTTCAGAGGAACCCTTTGGGCTGCATGAGGTTAACCCTTTAAGAATGAACAGAGAAAATCTGTAAGATGCAAACACTGATTATTAATACTGCGTTTATTTTGGTTTTGAAGGAAAAGTCAAAAACAATGTAGCTGGCTCTGTCCGCAGCCCTTCTGCTTGTCCTCTGTCCCACCTGCTGCCTGTTTCTCCCCATTTAAGTCTTTTAATATTCAGCTACATGCAGCTTGGCTTCATGCTCACGTCTGCTTTCCGTCTGTTCCCAGGCGAGTGGAGCGAGGCGCTCTACCCGCTCCTCACCACGCTCACCGAGTGCGTCACCATGATGAGCGACAAGGCCAAGAAGTCCATGGTGTTTCTGCTCATGCAGGACAGCGCCCCCACCATATCCATGGACGTCTCCCTGCAGTACCGCCGGGACGTCGTCTTCTGCCAGGCGGTAAGCAGGCAAAACATGATCTCGCCTCCACACACGCATATTATCATCTTTCCATATGCAGTATGGCCCATGTGTTTACTCCCATTGATTTCCAATACCTTTCCATCCTCTAACCCTGACAATACCCATAAAACTGGCCGTTATCATCATGCACCTAAACCTCAACTAAATTCACACCTTATCTGAAATCTGAAAAATGGTCCTCACTCTGATGCCAAACCAGGAGGACACACACCTTCAGATCAATCTGCTCGTCTCTTGGTGATTCATAACCAGGCTTATAAATATTCCATAGAGGTGAAAAAGGTCAACTCACTGTGGTGTCTAAACTTCAGATGAGTAATAAAATCACAGATTGAATATCACACAGCTACATAGCTTCCAACGTTTCATTTTTAAGGCCTTCCTTCATATTTTCAATAAATGTTTAAAAACATTTCAGAGGACCTAAAATAGCCCAAAGTAGAAAACAATCACTCTCAGTCTTGAAGGCAGTACAACGTTCTAAGATAAACTGAGCTCTGCCATTTAACCACATACAGTTTAATTACATCTCTTTATTAAGACCTGAGGGCAGGAGAAGCCTAATGGAAAAATCTTTCAAAAATGACTTTCCTGGAGATTTTACACAAAGAAAACACAAGTTCTTCTACTGGTAAAAATGGCTGGTTGTTGTTGACACAAAGTTGAAAGTCATGTAGCTTAATTTGGCTAACTGACCCTTCTAAAAGTGGCTAATCTGTTTGCTACTGAGCAAAGCTAGCCAGAGTCCTTTATACCACGGCCTTGCAGTTATCTAGTAAATCAAAAACTGATCTTTTCAATTTTCTTTTCCATCAGTTAAAGCCCAATCAATCATTATACAAGCTAATACTACAGATGCTAATGTATCAGCTGCATAATATATCATGGCAACATTTTACCAATACTTTAGTGTAATATCAGAGGTATGCGAATAGATCTGGTGCATTCATTGATACTTTTTCCTCTCTTTCTTGCCCTGTGTAGTCGTTCCAAATAGTCCAGCTATCATTGTCCGAATGTTAAGAAAACTTCAGCATGTTGTAACCTGGCAAAACAGACTAATGATGTTTTAGACACAGGCACACATCCAGATGATAAAAGGCACAGGTTGGACAGTTAAAGTTTTTAAATGCCTCAGTCTGTGAAGCTTACTCTTGTTCTGATGCGTCGCTGCAGCTAACCGCACTGATCTGCGGCTTCGTCATCAAGCTGAGGAACTGCCTTCGAGATAACGGTTTCCTACGGCAGCTCTACACTATCGGCCTGCTGGCACAATTCGAATCCCTGCTCAGCACCTATGGTTCGATACCAAACCTCTCTGACCGTACTTCATCACTTCTTTTTGTTTTACTGGATCATCATCGATCATCTTTGTGTGTTTAGGAGAGGAGCTCTCCATGTTGGAGGATATGAGCATCAGCGTCATGGATCTGCGTAATGTCACCTTTAAGGTAACATTTTTTTTAAATATATATATATATATATATATATATATATATATATATATATATATATATATTAGTGCTGTCAATCGATTAAATTTTTTTAATCGCGATTAATCGCATCAATGCCTGAGTTAACTCGCGATTAATCGCATTTTAATCGCAAATTTTTTTTCTGATTGAAAATCATTTAAATACTCTCGATGACATACAAAAAATACATACAGGCTAGGTTTGTGCCAATGTTCTTTTTTTTAAATGAGAACAGGTCACAGACACTGATTTATGCCATAGAAACATATGGCAAGAAGATGGGGAGGCATGTAGCAAAAAATAACAAATATGTAGCCAAAAAAAGGCCCTGAAAACAGGCTGATGTAAAAGACAGTCTTTACAGTTAATACAGTCTTTTGAACAAAGACAAGCATTTTACCCTACTGCTATAAAATGTAGTACAGTTAACATTAGATGTTAATTAACCAAGATAATAATGAACAATTTTCAATCAATACATCAAAATCAATAGACCGACATCACTAGATGGAGGTAGTCTATGCTCTAGAAAGTTACTTTTCAGCCTCTTAACAAAAATGAGAACACACACACACCCACCCACCCACACACAGACAAACCCACACACACACACACACACACATGATACCGACCTGTGACAGCAAGAGTGCCGTAGCAGATTCCATTTCACCTCAGTAATCTGTTTTCTCAGCGTATTTCAGGTTGCTACTAGTTACCAGACACTCAACTTGTTTGTTGGTGGTGGGGCTTAAAGAAAAGGCACTAGCGTCACCCAGTGTATGAGCGTCTTTTTTCCTTGAGGAGCTCCGCTCTTGAAGCCTATGAGAAATGCATAGACTGGTGGAAAATAGCCCCGCCTTCCCGCAGGCTGCAGCGGGATGTACTTGGAAAATTTTACCATAAAACCACATAGCGTTAATCTCACGTTAAAAAAATTATCGCCGTTAAAATGGCCTCGCGTTAACGCGATAATAACGCGATAATTTTGACAGCACTAATATATATATATATATATATATATATATACACTATATTGCCAAAAGTATTTGCTCACCTGCCTTGACTCACATATGAGCTTAAGTGACATCCCGTTCCTAATCCATAGGGTTCAATATGACGTCGGTCCACCCTTTGCAGCTAGAACAGCTTCAACTCTTCTGGGAAGGCTGTCCACAAGGTTTAGGAGTGTGTTTATGGGAATTTTTGACCAGTCTTCCAGAAGCGCATTTGTGAGGTCGCACACTGATGTTGGACGAGAAGGCCTGGCTCTCAGTCTCCGCTCTAATTCATCCCAAAGGTGTTCTATCGGGTTGAGGTCAGGACTCTGTGCAGGCCAGTCAAGTTCATCCACACCAGACTCTGTCATCCATGTCTTTATGGACCTTGCTTTGTGCACTGGTGCACAGTCATGTTGGAAGAGGAAGGGGCCAGCTCCAAACTGTTCCCACAAAGTTGGGAGCATGGAATTGTCCAAAATGTCTTGGTATGCTGAAGCATTCAGAGTTCCTTTCACTGGAACTAAGGGGCCAAGCCCAGCTCCTGAAAAACAACCTCACACCATAATCCCCCCTCCACCAAACTTTACACTTGGCACAATGCAGTCAGACAAGTACCGTTCTCCTGGCAACCGCCAAACCCAGACCCGTCCATCAGATTGCCAGATGGAGAAGCGCGATTCGTCACTCCAGAGAACGCGTCTCCACTGCTCTAGAGTCCAGTGGCGGCGTGCTTTACACCACCGCATCCGACGCTTTGCATTGCACTTGGTGATGTATGGCTTGGATGCAGCTGCTCGACCATGGAAACCCATTCCATGAAGCTCTCTGCGCACTGTTCTTGAGCTAATCTGAAGGCCACATGAAGTTTGGAGGTCTGTAGTGATTGACTCTGCAGAAAGTTGGCGACCTCTTCGCACTATGCGCGTCAGCATCCGCTGACCCCGCTCCGTCAGTTTACGTGGCCTACCACTTCGTGGCTGAGTTGCTGTCGTTCCCAAACACTTCCATTTTCTTATAATACAGCTGACAGTTGACTGTGGAATATTTAGGAGCGAGGAAATTTCACGACTGGATTTGTTGCACAGGTGGCATCCTATCACAGTTCCACGCTGGAATTCACTGAGCTCCTGAGAGCGACCCATTCTTTCACAAATGTTTGTAAAAACAGTCTGCATGCCTAGGTGCTTGAATTTATACACCTGTGGCCATGGAAGTGATTGGAACACCTGATTCCAATAATTTGGATGGGTGAGCAAATACTTTTGGCAATATAGTGTATATATCTATATATATATATATATCAAAAAGGGGAATACTGGGTAGTAACGTCGGCTTTGTTTGGATCCAGGTCACCCAGGCGACGGGCAGCTCCGCCCCCGACATGCTGCCCATCATCACAGGCAACAGGAACGGCTTCAACGTCCGCATCCCGCTTCCGGGCAGCATGTTTGACGCGTTGCCGCGGGAGATCCAGAGTGGGATGCTGCTGCGAGTCCAGCCGGTGCACTTCAACGTCGGCATCAACGAGCAGCAAACGTTGGCCGAGAAGTGAGTGACCTTCACACTCATGTCTGCTGAAGACTTTCAAAGGGACTAAATGAAAGAGGAGCTTGTTTCTTTTTGTTTTCAGGTTCGGGGACACATCCCTGCAGGAAATCATCAACGTAGAAAGCCTCTCCAGGCTGAACTCATACTACGAACAGTTCAAAGAAGTTCTTCCTGAGGACTGTGAGTTAGGCAAAGCTTTATTTTATAATCCTTGAATCTCTAAATATATGAGATTTCAGAAAGAGAGTATTTCAGCACTTCGATTTCTCTTGTGCCTGAAACCCTGCTTACTTCTTGTCAGGCCTCCCAAGGTCTCGTTCTCAGACCTGTCTTCCTGAGCTGCTGAGATTTCTGGGTCAGAACGTCAACGCAAGGAAGAACAAGAACGTCGACATCCTCTGGCAGGCTGCTGAGGTAACTAAGGAATACAGTGACCCCCCCTTTGTTTTTTTTTGTTTTTTTACAAATAAAAGAACGCAGTATTTTCCAAAGTATTCAAGCCCCCTGATATTACAGATTCAACGGTAAGGGTAGCCCATTTTACAGTACCATACCACATTTGTTGTGCCACATTTTCGGTTCAGCTTCAGTAACTTTTGTGTGGAACAAGGCCACAATTTCCCCACCACACCCCGTTAATTTTTTTCTACTTTTTGTTTGACTTGCAACTGAAGAAGCTCAATTAACTAAGGAGTGAGTGGAGCAAAATAATCCTAATGCTACGTTCACACCTCATGCGATTGAAGCAGCTGTGAAGAAAAATATCAGCTGTACTGCTGCAATCAACACCTTCGTTTGAGCTCGGCCTATTTTTCAATGTAGTCCTGTATCTGACTGTGACTAACTGAATGTGCTCTTTTAGTCCTCTGACGTGGGGGCTGGCTCAGAGCTCCCTGGCTTTGTCTTTCTTGGACAGGGCCGCCTGTGGAGCTGGTTGACAAGTTCCTTTATATTTTTGCTTATTTCTGTATCTCTGCTTCTGTTTACTTGAACCCCAGTCGTTCTCAGCAGATGGCCGCTCACTCTGAGCCTGGTTCTGCTGGAGGTTTCTTCCTGTTAAAAGGGAGTTTTTCCTCTCCACTGTCACTACAAGCATGCTTAGTGTGAGGGATTGTATTCGAGTCAATGAGTCGATGCAATCAGATTGTTTTTCTTAGATAAAAACTTTAAATCATTTTGACTGTATGATCTGGTTGAACTGTGCCTTGAGATGACATGTGTTTTGAATTGGCACTATATAAACACTGAGTTGAATTGGTTTACATGCAAAGTCAATGGTTGACGCGCATCAAAAAGTCCTGCAGCATGTCTAAAGCAGCGCATCTTGACGCAACTGAAGCAGCGCCTCGTGAGCTTTTGAGCTCTTCACAAACAGCAGATGCTGGAGTTGGAAAATTTGCAGCTCGACGCGCCACATCAACCAATCAGAGATGCTGATTTGGGAGCTGGACACAGCACTGCTGATGCAGATTGCTGTGATCACTCCACTGAAACAGTTTATTAACGACTAAATTAACTTAAAATGTCAAAACCTGCTTGCAAAATATGTTCGCTTTTATTATTCTGCTGCCTGCAGTTTCTTCCACATACCTGATAAATGCTATCATCAACTTCCAGCTGCAACGAACAGTAGCGGAAAATCCCCTGCTGCTGCTGGGTACTCCCAGTGACAGCGCACCGCCTGTATGTGGGGATCTGAGCGGCTCAGACAGCAAAATAATATTGTATGGCAGGATTGTAATCTTGATGAACTGACTGCACAGATATTTTGATATTAAAACTACTTTTACCCACAGATCACAGCAAATATAGCGAAGCCACTCTCTGCCATTGAACACGAGTAGCAGAAGCATCAGATGCATCTGGACATACTTTATTAGACACGCTTCAGGAGCATCAAAGATGCTCTTGAAGCAAATCTGACCTTTATGTGTGCAAGCTTCAAAAATGAAGCAGCAGATGCTTTTTTTGCTGCCCAATGCACATTCGGTGTGAACGTAGCATAAAAGGGATATTAGGACTCAGTTTTTAAAGTTTAATACAAACTACCTCAGATAGATAAGAATGCACTAGACCATTTAATTCCAATAAAGGTAAGGAGCTAAATCTGAAAATTAGCTTCAATCTTACAACGATAGAAGTAAAGGAGTGTCAGAACTGGACCAACATAGTCAATCATTTGATAGCAAGCCCCTAATTATAGATAAGTAGGTTTCAGTTTTCAACAAGTCAGCCCATCTGCCATTGGTTAAAGGTACGTAAAGCTGCAAGTCATCAGCATAAAGTAACATTGAAAGAACGTAAAAGAAGGCAGCAGATAAAGAAAATATAGCAATGGACCAATTACAGACCCTTGAGGAACCCCGTAACTTGTACTCTTTCCATTTCTGGATGATATATTTAACAGTGCTTTGTGAGATGCTTTGGAAATCTTTTTGTAGACTTATTTGTTTTTATTCATAAAAGATGCTTTAAATCTTTAAATTTTTGTACTTTTTTTGTGGTTCTAATGTGACGAAAATAAGGAACATTTCATGGGGTGTGAGCACTTTTGTAAGCCACTGGAAAAATATTCAGAAAAAAGGAGAAATCTGTTACAATTGATCTGTTCTCTTTTCTGTTTTAGATTTGCCGCCGGCTAAACGGTGTCCGTTTCACCAGCTGCAAGAGCGCCAAAGATCGCACGGCTATGTCGATTACACTGGAGCAGTGCCTGATCCTGCAGCATGAACACGGCATGGCGCCGCAGGTCTTCACGCAAGCGCTCGACTGCATGCGCAGGTAGGAGAACTGGTCTGTTCCGGAGAGAGATTTAGGGCAACAGAATGCAAATGTTAAGCATCATAAAAACACTGATCTGAAACCCGATTTGTTGGTATTTTATTAAAAAAAAAATTATTTGCTGGAAAGGAAACAAACTTAAGTTAATCTCTGGCAAAATATGTAAACATTTCATCTAACTGTTACGGTTGTTTTCGTACCACCATCAGCTTCATTTTTTTCTTGTCCTACTTCATTTCTTCATTGGCAAAGAGTAAAGGCGACCAGTGATTTACTTTGTCACCAAAAGGAAGGAGCTTTTTTGACCATTTCTGTTTGGTCTGTTTTCCTGTATAACTTTGACTTTAGCTGATAAGGTTTAAGCTGCAAACCAAAAAACAATGTTCTGGGCAAGTACTTATAACATCTAATTAAAAAAACTGGCAATTAATTACTGCAACTTTTAACATTTAATTTCCCTTTGGGATTAACAACGTTTTTTTATTCATTTTTTATTTAATTGATTTGAATTAAACAAGTGACACATTATTGACTTCCAAAAAATAAGATTTGCCTTTGGAAAATAAGACATTAAAGCACTACAGACTGAAAATTCAAACATTGCAGCTAAAAAGTTAAAACATGATGATACTCTCATTTTATGCTGATGATACCCTCATTTTTTTTTTTTACAATACTCTCACTTTATGCTAATGTTACTCTCATTTTATGCTAATGATACTCTCACTTTATGCTAATGATACTCTCATTTTATGCTAATTATGCTCCCATTTTATGCTAATTACTCTCATTTCAAGCTGATGATGCTCTCGCTTTATGCTAATGATACTCTCATTTTATGCTAATTATGCTCCCATTTTATGCTAATTACTCTCATTTCAAGCTGATGATGCCCTCGCTTTATGCTAATGATACACTCATTTTATGCTAATGATACTCTCATTTTATGCTAATTATGCTCCCATTTTATGCTAATTACTCTCATTTTAAGCTGATGATGGTCTCGCCTTATGCTAATGATACTCTCATTTTATGCTAATTATGCTCTCATTTTATGCTAATTACTCTCATTTTAAGCTGATGATGCTCTCGCTTTATGCTAATGATACTCTCATTTTATGCTAATTATGCTCCCATTTTATGCTAATTACTCTCATTTTAAGCTGATGATGCTCTCGCTTTATGCTAATGATACTCTCATTTTATGCTAATTATGCTCCCATTTTATGCTAATTACTCTTAATTTTAAGCTGATGATGCTTTCACTTTATGCTAATGATACTCTCATTTTATTCTAATTACTCTCATTTTAAGCTGATGATGCTCTCGCTTTATGCTAATGATACTCTCATTTTATGCTAATTACTCTCATTTCAAGCTGATGATGCTCTCGCTTTATGCTAATGATACACTCATTTTATGCTAATGATACTCTCATTTTATGCTAATTATGCTCCCATTTTATGCTAATTACTCTCATTTTAAGCTGATGATGGTCTCGCCTTATGCTAATGATACTCTCATTTTATGCTAATTAGGCTCTCATTTTATGCTAATTACTCTCATTTTAAGCTGATGATGCTCTCGCTTTATGCTAATGATACTCTCATTTTATGCTAATTATGCTCCCATTTTATGCTAATTACTCTCATTTTAAGCTGATGATGCTCTCGCTTTGTGCTAATGATACTCTCATTTTATGCTAATTATGCTCACATTTTATGCTAATTACTCTAATTTTAAGCTGATTATGCTTTCGCTGTATGCTAATGATACTCTCATTTTATTCTAATTACTCTCATTTTAAGCTGATGATGCTCTCGCTTTATGCTAATGATACTCTATGCTAATTACTCTCATTTTATGCTAATTATGCTCCCATTTTATGAAGATGATACTCTCATTTTATGCTAATTATGCTCCCATTTTATGAAGATGATACTCTCATTTTATGCTAATTATGCTCCCATTTTATGCTTATTACTCTCATTTTAAGCTGATGATGCTCTAGCTTTATGTTAATGATACTCTCATTTTATGCTAATTATGCTCCAATTTATACTAATTGCTCTCATTTTAAGCTGATGATGCTCTCGCTTTATGCTAATGATACTCTCATTTTATGCTGATTACTCTCATTTTATGCTAATTATGCACCCATTTTATGCTAATTACTCTCATTTTAAGCTGATGATGCTCTTGCTTTATGCTAATGATACTCTCATTTTATTCTAATTACTCTCATTTTAAGCTGATGATGCTCTCGCTTTATGCTAATGATACTCTCATTTTATGCTAATTACTCTCATTTTAAGCTAATGATACTCTCATTTTATGCTAATTACTCTCATTTTAAGCTAATGATACTCTCATTTTATGCTAATTACTCTCATTTTAAGCTGATGATGCTCTCATTTTATGCTATATAGGGTCCCATTTTATGCCGATGATACTCTTATTTTAGGTTGATAATACTCTCATTTTATGCAGATGATACTCTCATTTTAGGTTGATGAAACCAGAGTATCATCATAATTCTTGACTGTTTCAGTAGCAATGTTTGATTTTATTTGATGTTCAAATTTTCAGTGTTTAATTGTTAATGTTTTATTCGACATTGCTTTATCACTTTTTCCATACCAGAGCAAGCTGTCACTGTTTAGTACCATAGATTAACAACTAAAACTGAGAGATGGAGCTGAGCCTGCATTCAATTATTAAATCCAAATGAACTCGATTAATGTGAAATCAGTTAAAGAAAAAAGGAGACAACGAACACCAAAAACAAGAAAAATCAATGAATCTTCATTTAATGTATTCTTTGGCTATGACAATAAAGAAGAAAAGAGATTAGCTTTTTTTGTGTTTGTAGAAACCCGACGGTGATTTGAGACAGGTAACAGCATGACTGAGCTGTCATGATATTGATCCCAAGTAAATGTGATTCCCAACATCTCTGTTCGGTTTTGCTCCAAATATTTTTGTCTGTCTGGTAAAAGAACCCCCAAGATACACGACTCTATTTAAAGTCTCTCCATCTTTCTCCTTCTCCTCACATCCGTCTTCCTTTCCTCCTCCGCCTTTTGCAGCCGACTAGCATGACTTGATTTGATTTGAACCCAGATGCACGTTTGGGATAAGGGAACGGTTAATTGAAGTTGCATGTATTCCGCTTCAAGCTTCTCCCTCCTCTTCCATCTTCATCCATGTCTAATACAATATAAACATGGTAGACCATTTGCTGTTTCTTCTTCCCTTTCTTTAAAATCAGAACATCTCTCCTAATTTCTCTTTTTTTTCTCTCCTCTCTTCCTCCTCTGCTTCCCGTCATGTTTCCTGTCGTGTAACTGCCCTATTTTTTGCTGGATTGTGTTTTATTTGTTTATCGTTGTTGTTTTTATATCCTCCCTTGTGGGAGCTACTTTCTGTCAACACTTTTTTTTTTTTCTTTCTTCACATCCCACTTATTAATTTGCCATCTCTCTGCTGGTGTATCTGCGTGCCATCTGTTTATTTCCCTTCCTCTTCATCCGTCGCTTTTTCCTCCTATTTTGCCGCTCTGCCTCCTTATTCTCCTTCCCCCACTCCTTTGCGGCTGGGCAGCGTTGGGACAAGGGAAGGGGTGATCCAGAAGAACCTGAGCGGCTTGCTGCCAGTGCGTGACCTGCGGCTGGACCCCAGCCTCATGTACTCCCTGCCCCTGTTGGCTCTCAGCCCCAACCTGCTGGTGGTGTGGATCTTCCTCAGTGTGGCGTATTTCTTGGCCAAAGTTCGCTGCAGCTGAACAATCTGGTCAGGGTCTGGCTGTTTTCTGAAGCTGTGCCCACCTGCCTGTTAGGGTGCCGTCCATGCACACCCACACCTAACTAACCTCGACGAAGGGCTTTTACACAACCCCACTCAACCTTCTTCATGGGAAATAAAATGTCCTTCTCATCCTCATTTTGGTGAAAGTGAGGCTTCAAGCATCTGATTTACCTTAAAGTTGGATTTATGTTTCCTTTCTGAAAGTTTTCCTCCTCTAAATGCTGCCTGATGAGCAATCATCCCAGCGCTCGGTCACTAAAAACATTTTGTTATAAAACCATTTATTCCTGTGACTATTAGAAGAAGAACAGCTACTTAACAATGAATGATGTACCTTAAGGTAGAATATCTGATGTAAGTTATTTTTTAGCAAACAGTGCCCTCTGGTGGATTGATGTTACTCTGCCTTATTTCTCACCAATACCTGCTGTTTCTATGTGGTAAGACAGCCGTCTGTATAAAACAACGTCACATGCTTGACTGGTATATTTTCATGGTCAACTCTTACATATATGTGACATCAGAAGTTTTATCTGTGGGAATACAAGTTTAAAAGTTACAAATACAAAATAGGACCTATCAAAAATGTACAGTACAAATCTACAACCAGCATTAAAAGCAAAGAAAAGGAAGAAGACCAAAGTAAAACTATAGATTGAACACTATGGCCGTTTCACAAGACCACGAGTAAGGACGTGTGTTCTCAGCAAGCCTGTACTTCAGAGGACCACAGGAAAGTATAGACTTGGGGAGACGCAGCTTAAATCTGGGTCCATTGGAACAGAAGTGTACTCTTGACGTCACCGAACGCTTGGCTCGCCTGGAGCTGCATTCCAGCTCCTGTCATTAATAGTCTCTAGATAATAATAAAATGACTTTTTTTCATTTAGTGTTGGAATAATAATGAGCACAGTCATATAAATAGAAAACAAAATTAACGTTTTGCCAAATAAAACAGAAAAATCAAGAGGGCTGCTGCAGACGGGCTAACGTTAGCCCTGGCTGCGGTTATCCCCGGATGGCCAGTGGTTGCCACAGTTCTCCCAACATAGGAGCCTTTTCTTAAATTACACACTATATCAGTATACACACCATATAGTGAAGCTAAAAAGTATAATGTTCTCAACTTAAATGAACTTAAAATGTACTTTTGAACCACAGCATAAGAAGAAACATATAACCTAATACTCTGAGCTAGGCTTGTCCCGATCCGATCCACGTATCGGATCGGGACGCCGATATTGGCAAAAAAATGCATATCGGCAAAGCATGTAAAATGCCGATCCAGACTGCCGATCCAGTTTTTAAAAAAATATCCGGTCCATATTTTCCAGTTTCACCGATTGAAACGATCCATTCCACTATTTTGCGCCAGCGTTCCCCTGTTTTGCATTTTTATTAAAACTTACAGTAATACTTGCACCTTTAACTGTTTACGGTTTTACTGCTCACTGTGCAATTTCAGATTGCTATTCATAATTTTGTCCAGTTTGTGTTTATCTCTTAATAAACAGGTAAGTTTGTTGTTACCAATCATTGTGTTTTATTCAATCTCACCTAATTCAGCTGGCTAGATGTTATCAAGAGTACTAAAACCCTTTTCAACATGAGTCTTACAACTAAGGCTAAATACTTTAACTTAAACTTAAATACATGCTCGGATAGGCTGGTATCGGCCAGTATCGGATCGGAAGTCCAAAAACAATATCGGTATCGGATCGGAAGTGCAAAAACCTGGATCGGGACATCTCTACTCTGAGCTCTGTGCGCTCCATTGGAAGCTGCTGCTGCAGTGCATGCTGGGAAAGCTGTCAATCTTTAGAGTGCACAAGTCTGCTCTGATCATTAAAGAGGGAGGGGTTCTTGTGAATAGGAACAGTACTGGGGCTGAGGCTGATGACGTTTCACAAGCACATGAGAACGCACAAGTACGCATATTGAGAAACGGCCTATATCTTTGCTGATATGTTGCTTTCAACATGAGTAGTATAACATTCATTTGATGGTTTCATTTTGGTCTTCTCCTTTTTCTTGTTTTAATGGTGGTCGGTGAACAATTTTGAGGTGCATGAGGAGTGTAACAGCTTTATAGACGGTTGAATAGACGTACATCAAAATCTGTGATTTTTATTCGTAAATGTATGGTTTTTACTCATAAATCTGTTATCTGTACTCCAAAATGCTTGTAAATTTGGGGTTCTATCTCTCAAATTCAAGATATGTAGTAAATTATGAATTTTACTTGTAAAGTTGTGATTCGCACTCGTAGTTTTGCAAATGTTGCAACTTTGTAATGTTGGATTCGTAACGTCTAAGCTTGTAGTCACATGAAGATCTGATGCCACATTTACATAAATGTTCACAAAAGGGAAGGAATTCAAATCTTAGATATGTTAACAGTATTAACTTACTGACGGTAATCTTACCCCATACATTTCACTCCTCATAGGCGCGTTAATCTTTATATTTTTGACTTTTTTTTTATCCCATCCAATTCATTTAACTGTCAGTTTGAGGTCAGATTGATGAACTTGGAAGCTGACCTATTATTGACCTATTATTATTATTATTATTATTGACCTTATGTTGGAGGTAAGCATTAATACAGGTGGTAAAATGGCCCCATAACCAACTGTCAAGCAGTTTGTGGTGGCAGCATCAGACTGTTGGTTTATGTAGCCAAAAATTTCTAGTCAAATGAAAGTAGAAGTCAGCATTTTTTTACAGAAGTAAAAGCAAAAGTAGCCACCCAAAGAAATTACTATAGAAAGAGTGAGAAAAGTTAGTAAGAACGCTCCTTTAGTTCTGACAAACAAATCTAAATTCCTTTAAAAATTGTTGTTGACATGTTTTTGACTAAAATAATATATATATATATATACATATATATATATATATATATATATATATATATATATATATATATATTGAACTACAAGTAAAAACAAAGTTATAAATTCAAGCAAAAGAAACTTTTTTCTAATTATTTTTTCTTCCATAGAATTATGAAATCAATACTTAGAGCCTTTAATGTATATACAGTGAGTTGGAACAGTGCAGATAAAATATGTCTAACTGACCTCTAAATTAATTAATTTGCTCAGAAGATAGAAGGAAACCCTAAAACAACAAAGCTTGTGTATAAGCAAGAAGTCTCACTTCAACATAGATCACGTGTGTCTCTGGTAGATTTTCTAGTAAAAACAAACAGTTACTCAAGGCGCCATACTTGAGTAAAAGTACAGCGCAGTAAAGCTACCTTTTAAAGCATGTTTGTTTTTTCCAGAAATTACTCAAGTAAATGTAACTAGTTATTTCCAAATTGTAGTGGAGATTTTTCACTGCCAGTTATTTGTAGAGATCAACCGCTAGATGGAAATCTGGACCATTATTGGTTATTTATTCTAAACACTGCAAAGTGGGGTTTGGAATAAATAAAGCAAACTGATATTAAAACATTTGGACTCATTCTGTCTTCAAGACTGTTGTAAAATAAGAACGATGCTTAACAGCCTGGTCGGTGCTGAGGAAAGCGATGTGGTTAATATGCAACTTACCGGAGAAATTTAAACCACAACGTTAATAGGGAGTGGGAATTCACACCAATGATGAGTGAATGTAAAGAGTCTGAAACAGAAAAAAAGCTGTATATTTGTCAAGTTTGTTTATATGTATGAAATAAGTCTAAAATATTTGAACTATGCTTCAGGAAGTAGCTTTTATTTTGAAAACAAATGCATCAAACCGTTTCCTCCATTTGTGATTTCATAGTCTTCCATGGACTTTTGCACTGAGCCTGAAATCCAATGTAGAAGGAGCTAAAGCTTTTATGCAAATATGTTTAAGCTTACATATATTTATATTTTTTCAAGGCTTGCTTTTATTTTAAATAGGTCTTCCTGGTTTTATGAAAAGATGGTATATTCTTGCTTCTACTTCATATTGTGCACTTTAAAGCAGATGTAGGTCATTTTGTGAGTTTAAAACAACTATCTCTGCATCAACAGAAATGGGAGAGAGATGAAAACAAAAGCATTGTTTACATCTAACTAGTATTTAGTCTATTTTTACCATTCTTCTTTTGTTTAAATGGTGTCATTTTGCCAAATGAGATAAATAAACCAATTCTGGTTGCTGGCTTTAATTGCAAAGCAGCATGTTGTAGGATGTCCAGGTGAAATGTGTTTGATTATCCAAAGTAGTGCTGCAGGTTATTCAACCCTCAAAGCATTTAGATCTAAAGTAACGAAAGAGAAAAAAGTATTTAGTTTATTATGCAAAAAATGTGTTTACTTTTGATGGATGTATTTATTCTTGGGTATAATGGTACAGTCAGGGTTTATTACAGGACGTATTTGAAAATGTTTGATAGATGCAGTCGGCTCATGTTTTGTTTTGTTTTGTTTTTTTCTTCTTTTACATTTTTTCTATAAGAACAATCATCCTTTTCTAATAAACATTGCTGCTGTTGGAGCAAAAACATGGTTTAAAAACCAAAAGTAAATTAATCAATTCTAGATTAACAGTATAAATAACTGGTCTGGTACATTCTATAACCATATTCTATTTTCCAGCAAAAATAGGGAGGATAATTAGAATAAAAATCTATATCAATTAATTAATTATTACAAATGTGTTGAAGTACATTATATACATTATATATATATATATATATATATATATATATATATATATATATATATATATATATATATATATATATATATATATATATATATATATATATATATATATATATATATATATATATATATATATTAATTTGTATTGTTTATTCAAGACAGAAATGTACTATAAGTTATTGTTTGTGAATAAAAGGGAGGTGTTTGTTATATTTCAGGAAACTAAAGCCCTTCAGGCTGCTTTACCTGGAAGTCTGCTATTTAAAAATTGATATTTTTGCCTGCGAAGCATTATTTTCCTCCCCTGAGCCTTTAGAATGCATATCATAAAGATCGACCCAGGAAGAAAATGGATCAGGAGAACTG